TCAGCAACTACACTCAGCTACATTGTTTTCCAAAAATAATTTATTAGACTGAAATTAGCAATTACTAATACTAATCCTTTGTCTCCTCCTTTTCCTCTAGGAAACCCCGATTAGTAAGGCTGGAGCTACAGTCCTATTCTTTATTTCCCAGTTTTGCCTGTCCAGGTGGCCACACTTCCTTCTTGCAGGCAGAGTGACTCAAAGCACCAAATTCACTTTATTACCATCTCCCAGGATGCTCACTAAATATGGTCTTCAAAAAACAATTTAATTACTTTCAACTTGAAACTGAAAGACTTTTAAGCCTTTCTGGATGAATAAATACTGGTCATCAACATGCAAGTTCTTGTTATGTGCTGATTCTGCCCCTAACTTCAATACATTTTAAAGAAAAAAAATCCAGGCAAACCCCCACCACACATCCTCTTAGCTTCTAGCTTAACTTCCTTCCCTGACATCTTGTTGTGCAGCAGCCTTTGAGAGCAGCTGCCACTATGATTTCAAAGCAAACAGCATTTTAGTTATCAGAGCAGCACCTGGGAGACACAGAAGTGAAGCAGGCAGGCACATGGCAACGATACGATTTCTAAAAGTCACGCAGAAGCATCCCCAGCCTACTTCTCAGACTTGGAAACTGGAAACAATGTGCAGAGGCAAAATTAATGGGTTGGTGAAGAGTGAAAGAAGGATAAAGGAAAAAACACAAGCATGCATTCATTGCTTCAGAGCAGCTGGAGCAGCTGTCTGGCCTTGGGCTGGGTGGTAGGTGAGGGAAGGCAAAAAAGGATAATTCACAGTGTGATCAGAAGTGATCATTTTGTTTATTTATTTTTTCAAATTCCATCTTTTACCGGAACCCTGTATTCCTCTGAAATAGGCCCTGCGTATTGGTGGTTTGAAAACCCTCTGTGCATCCCACTGATGCATGTGTAGAAGTTGTTATCTCTCACAGACACTTTACCTTCCTGTCCCTTATGTCAGCACAATTCAAGACAATTCAGAGAAATGACATCCTTGAGCACGTCAGGGATGAAAGCACACAAAGACAGGAGACAGCTGTAGCAATTAAACAATGCACTGTGATTTGAAAACTAAAGCAAACATTTTGACAGGTTCCTATGATGAGGCTGACAGACAAAAAATCAACCTTTTATGGATTTTGCAGCAGCCTTGTGGTTTCCCTGAGGAAACATGCTGTTCTGCAAATGTTTTGTGAAGAATGATGTGAACATTTTGTGAAGTTAAGGGTGGCCAATCTACTCTTTCTAAGGCCACTTAACACTGCCACCATACCTCAGCCCCAGCCTGAACCACCTCAGCCTGCCCTGTTTGGTTCTTGCCCTGCTCTGTCAGCACAACCCACCTTGCAACTTGTCCTGGGGTGACTTTATAATACTGGTATCCCCAATCCCCTTGTTTATGTTACATATTAAGTTCTGCACCTTTAAGGCTGGCTCTGAGAGCAAAGCGGGAAAGGAAAAGCGCATTGTTCGTGTTGAGAAAGAGCCCTCACTGCCCCACATCCTGTTCCTGGACTGTGTTGTCTGCAGCACAGACAGACAGCGGGTCAGAGCTCTCCTTTGCTGTTAGTTTTTAGCTTGCTGAGGCAGACAAGTTTCCTGGGCTGTTTTTTTTTTCCTTTTTTCTTGTATCTCTTTTCTTGGCCTAATCTCAGACACAGAGGAAGCTCCCAGCAGCTCCTCCCAGAAAAACTCCCAATTCTTTCCTTAAATGCCAAGCCACCCCACAACTGGTGGCTTAAGCAGCACTTGAGCCAGCTGTACCAGGAGCTCCTAGGCCAAGCAAGCAGCCCTTCTGCTCTTGTGCATGGCAAATGTTGCTTTTTCTCCAGGGAAAACCTGAGTTTGTTCTGTGCTCAGGGCAGCAGCATTTCTGGCTCACTGCTTTCCCTGATCTAAGAGTGTTGGGTTTCAAGCAAGACAAGCACCCTGATCAACTCCAGCACGGCGGCTATCCTCAGCTGCTCGGACCACATCTCACAGCATCAGTGTGATGGATGGCAAATATGGCGATTTATTGCAGAGGAATTTAGCATTTTATAGCCTGGGGTCACTGTGTTACTCCCACCTGCTTACATCACACTTAGGTGCTATTGGCTAATTGCTATCCTAACAGAGAGGGGGGTTTGCTAACTTTCCGTTACATCCCGAAATCTTTAGATCGCAAGCCCTTAAACTACAACATAAGAGCGTCAGATTCTTAGAATCGTAGAAGAGTTTGGATTGGAAGGGAGCTCAGAAGGCCATCTAGTTCAATCCCCCTGCAATGAGCAGGGGCATCTTGTGCTAGGCCAGGTTGCTCAGACACCATCCAGCCTGACCTTGGAAGTTTCCAGGGATGGGGCATTCACCATCTCTTGGCAGCCTGCTCCAGTGTTTTACCACTCTCATTGTAAAATACTTCTTCCTTATACATAATCTAAATTGACCCTCTCTGAGTTTAAAGCTGTCGTTCCTTGTTCTGTAGCAACAAATTCCCAGGAGAAGAAACTAGAATCTCCCATCCCTCAGGGTGAGTGAGGCATGGCAGCAATAAAGACTTTCACTTTTGGCCAGCATCCAGGAGAAAGCATCACCAGCAACCATTTGTATCCTTGAGAAAATAAAAAGTTTATGTTGCAATCTCTGGAAAACCTCTGGAAATCACTATTGTATTTCACCAACAAATATAGCTCAGACAAGCAATAAACTGTTGCCTTTCATATCTAGGACACAATCCCATGACACTTGGCTCCTCAAGGGATACAGTAGCACTGACACGTCCTTTTAATTATATTCAAGTTTCTCATTATCACATCTTTTAAGAAGAAAAGTGCAAGTTGATGTCATGAGAAACAAAAATTATTGTGGTTTCACAATTAAACTCAAAAGGCCACATGTATTAAAGAGTACACTGGGTCACTACTGCTTTTCCCCAAAGGAATTATTCATACACTTAGAGCGCATGTGTAATACTTCTCTCATTGATTTATAAAAGCTCACATGCACTGTGCTACAAATGAAAAAAATCATGTGGCCTTATGTTCAAATTTGCTTTATTTGGCTTCTTTTCATCCAGGAAATACAGAAAACAAGACAGACAATCAGTATTGTAAAATTACTTATTGTAAAATTACATGCTCTATCAGTAGAGCATGTAATTTTAGATAAAAAATAATTAAGCAACAAACATGACACAGACAATAATAGCAAAAATACAGAATGCACTGTTTTGATTGACTGAAGTTATTTTCAAATCTGAACTCAACTGCACCTGCTCTGGTCAAAAATATTTCTGCAAATTTATCTCAAAAGTTTTGCTCAAAACCTTATTTTAAAAGGAAAAAATACCCCAAAACACCTTAAAAGCCCCATGAACTCCCATTTTCTGTTCAGAAAGGAAGTGAAGTATAAATCAAAACTATTAAAAAGCCAAAATTGCAGTGACACATTTCTGGTATCTTAAACAAGTAGGGGGAAAAGAAAAAAAACCAAAAAACAAACCAGTTGGTGTTTTGGTTGAAACAGATTTGTTTGTTTTTGTAATTAGAAAAAGTGAAATGTAGAATTAAATAATTCATATTGTACGTTCAAAAGCAGAGCAAACAGCCCTGCTCACATCCTCAACAACACAGGCAGACAGACACATGAAGCTTTTTTACCAGGCTCTGGAGAGGCCACTGCTCGAGAACCAGCAAAATACTTGCTCTGAACACTGTCCTAAATTTTACATCTCTGTTGTTGATTTTTCAGCTTGACAGTTTGTACTCTTAATAAACATATGACATAAAAGGCACAATCCAAAATGCTACACACTCTGGTAAGATGGACTGTTTCAGATGCACAAACAAATGCTCATCAAAGCCAAAAGAAAAGAGCATACTGTTAGTGATCCTGATACAACGACAAACATCCAGACAGAAGGAGACTGAGAAACAGCCGGAACAGTAGCATTCATCAGCTGAACAAAAAATCACCAGAGGACCCCCTGGTGTCCTCCCATCTGTCTATCGTGTCAGTAAAATGTGCCACTAGGAAGGAACACCCAGAGGTAGGCTTGCTTTTAGCAGTCTTTGCCCTGTGGGGCAGGCGCAGAGCCCTGCGGAGGTGCTCAAAGGCTGTCATGGTTTAACCCCAGCCAGCAACTAATAACCACACAGTGCCCAGGATGGAAGGGAGGAGTTGGAAAGGTAGCCTCATTCTAACTTGTATCAAGATAATAACTCTGTCCTAACTAAAACAAGCACAGAAGCAGAGGGCACCTGGAGCCTTCAGCCCCTGACAAAGAAGAGGAGCTGCAGGGCAATGCCCAGGAGTGCATGGTCCTCCTGAGCACCCTGCTGCTGCCCAGCAAGAGGGGGCCAAGCACCTGGAACTTTAAGCCTGGAAATGGCCGGATCAGCAGGCTTGGGCTGGCAGTGATGAGCAACTTGGGATGTCAGGAGAGGAACTCCAATCCAGCCTGGGACAGGAGTAGAATTAGGTCCAACTCCTAAGAATAGTGCAATAGTGTCTTTATCTGCTACCAAAGGCATGACAAGTCAGTAAGCTCAGCCTCTGTAAGCCTGCCAGCTGATACCACTGCAGCCACAGTAGGGACACAGGACAGCGAGCTCAGCATGTGACATCCCACCCAATGCGCTCCAGCCATGGAATAATGACTTTTGGCCAGCTAAGCCATTTATCTGTGTTTAAAAAAACACAGTAAAAATGGATGAAGACAGGGAAGACTATTCTAAACAGTGCATAAGGTGAGCACAAAAACTATTGATGAAATTCATTCTTTTTGGCAGCTCAGCAAGGAATAGGATAGGGTATTAACAGAAAGATGGAGAAGACAATGCTTTCCACCACTGGCCTTTGTTACCATCTCCTCCTCATTTAAATATTTAACCCCACCACACACATCCCTAAAAACCACAGATAACACAGAAGAAAGCACTCTGGGATTAGGAAAAAATCAAGTAAAGTAAATTACTTATATATTATACAAATTACTTACAATTCTTCTTTCCAAACTGTGGCTGCTACTGCCTTTATTCAGTCACCTGTTGGAGACCTATTGCTCTTCCCCAATAATTTTGACAAATCTGGCGTAGTTTGAGTCCTGTGATTTTGAGTCCAGCAGGTCTTTCCAGACAGAAAAAGGAGTTGGAACAGCTGGATAAGAGAAGGAAAATCAGATGACAGGAAGAGGGTGGTGAACTCTGAGTTGCTGCAAGTGAAATTGCAGACAGGTGTTGGCAAAAATTAAATCCCTCTCTAATTCAAGAGAGCAAGAGAAATTAAGCACTGGAAGAGAATCCTGCAGAGCTTCTATCCATGGACATTTTCAAAACTCAGCTGGAAGAAGACAGACACATTTTTCCCAGCAGCAGTAGCAGGAGTGGCATGGGGACAGAAGGTTTTGCTTGACAAAAATCTCCTTCTCTGTGGAGCAGCAGACCATGTGGTCCAGTCCTACATTTTAAGATTAAGGACCTAGACCAGATAACAAACATTGTGTTAGTTGTTTCAGTGATCAACTCAGCTTCCAGATAGGGCAGTGTACATGATGTCTTCTCTTTTTGCTGCTTCTTTCCAGTGAGTCAAGTCACTATGTGTAATGCTGACTTCAGGCTGCTGACTTCTAATGAGCTGTTAGATGGACAGAAATCCTCAAGGATCCTAGAAAACACAAAAACAGCCCCAGGAAAGGATGAGCTGTGGCCCTTGTGTTGCTGTCTCCTGCTTTGCTTAGCAGTGTAGCTGCTGCTGGACAGGAGGAAGTGAAATGCACAGTGGGGAAACTGGGGAGCAACAGTGACAAGCCCACCCTATGGTGAACAATTTACCTGCTCTTTTAATTCTGGAAATCACACACTGAGGAATTCAGAATATGACATAAAGAATATACAAAGCTCTGAAAAGATTTTTAAACTGAAAAGTAAACCAACTTTCTTCACTGGTAATAACACACCAATAATTAATTAATACACATATACTGCATATATAAGTAATTTGATATTTCATAATGTCTTTAATTTGTTTGAGATTCAGCTTACAACACTACCTTTACATGGCTTTGAAGACAATAATAAAATATATGGCATCTTTACTTTTCATGTAGAGGAATATGAAAGAGGTTCCTTATCTAATAACCTTGCATTCTGACAAAGTATTTTGCAAAGTATTTTGTAATTATGAATATAAATAATTCTTAGCAAGGAAGTGAATGAGGAATTGAAACAGTGAGGAAACTGTTCACATATTACAGGAATGCTATTTGTTCTCCCTTTCAGCTGCCAGACATTTTATTTTCTGGTTATATATAAAGCCCCATTGTTGGAATGAAAAGGAAAAGGAAGGACCAGAAAATTACTTCATGATGAAATATGAGCACAAATATGATGCACAGGACAGAAATTTTACTAGTTACATATACTGAAAGCCTTCCTGTTGGCAAAGAAAGGGCTTTGTGCTTTAGTAGCATAGACTTCAATGCCTTCCCTTTAGATGTGCAGGACAAACTCCAAGATGTTTCCTATAGCACTACCTTCATCCTGTCAGTAGCAAACCAGGATTTATTTCATCCTTCCAGGCAAAAACCCCAGCCATGTCCTAGGAGACCAAGAATCACCCATATGACATATGTGACCTTCAACTTCCCTCCTCTTCCACTCCCTTTTCCTGGTGGTACTAAATGGAAAACAAGATAAGAAACATGTTTTTTCTAGCAAAACATATCAGGAAAAACAAACAAAACACCAGCTGTCCCTATTTTTCACAATGAAAACAGGTAGCACTTAAGCGTGGAAAGCTTGCAAAGTGTGCCCATCCTCCCTCTATTTATGACAGAGAGCAGAAGGTACTGCCAGGCACATTTCAGTGAGCAGATAATTAGGTGGAATTACTAGGGAACAGGAGCTGTCTGCAAACAGTGTGATTAAACCCAGAAAACATCTTCACTTGAGTTGTAAAACATTTATATCTGAAGGAAACCTGATGGGCAGCCTGACACAGAATTACCCCTTCACTGACATTTTTGTCATGAGGTTGTTGTTTATTTTTTTAATTCTGCCCCTCAGTACCTCTGTTTAGGTCTGTTTCTCTATATTTCTTTTTAAACTGTGACATTTTTAGGTTTTGGGATTTTTGTTTGGTTAGTTGGCTTGGGTTTGGGGTTTTTTTTGGTTTAGTATTAAGAAGGGTAAAGGAAAGAGGCTGTTGAATATTCACGGCATATTTTTTTGCTATTTTGCAGGAATTCAAAATAGGAGCAATATAATCTCCTACTCCCATTAAAGCCACACTTGAGAGGAAAGCAAGACTACTCTAAAATGAGCCTTGCCAGCTGGGACATGACTGCCAGAAACCCATTTGTCTCTGTAAGCAGAGGAAGTGTGTTATATCCATCTGCCTCAAAAAAGAGGTTATGTCCCAAGTTTATAATCCGAAAGTCTGGTATTTAGTGGTCTTCTCTGCAAATATTATTGTGAAAATTCTCCTAAAACCAGGCTGCTACTGTATTTTTCTCAACTACTGAGTCTGTTGCTACTAAGAAAACCAGATGTCAAAGCAAATCCAAGTCATAAGACAAAATAAGAATTGTTGTAATTTTTAAGCTAGAGCTTAGAAACAGAGCCTTTCCCCAAACTGAATATAAACAGAGAGTACTGCTCTAATGGCTCTTCCAGAATGACTATCTTTACTACAAACAAAGCAATGAAAAGTGTAACCAAGTACTTGTTCTTGTAAAGATTCCCAAAACCTGGAATTCCTGCATAGTACTTATTTCCCAGCCTTACAGGACATATTTGGCCACCAAAATTTGGGTTTCTCATACCCACATACTATAGCTGATCAGCCAAGCTGCTATTTTACACTTACCAGACCTGATTCTTGCTATTTGTAGCAACTATCAAATTCAAAACGTAACAATCAGGGAATCTTAAACTCCTATTCAGGGTATTAAGTGATCTCCAGCTTGTGTCACAGAGGTATTTTGAACCTATTTTGGAGTACTTGTGTAACATATTGAGCACACTGAGGTTCAGCATTTCTCTGGAATACAGATAGCTGGTTGTGTTGAGACACACAGAATTGTAGAAAGAGTGAGGTTGGAAAAGACATCTAAGATCATCAAGTCCAACCTTTGACTGAACTCCACCTTGACAGGTAAACCATAGCACTAAGAGGCAAAGTCAATGCTGCTTGCATGTGAGTTCTATAATATCTCCACTTGAAGGAGAACCCAAATGTTTGATTTCCAAACAGGAAAAACACATTGCTGTGCTGGTGCTTTCTGCAGAATGGAATTTTTGGTCTGGCCTAGTTTTTTCTTCTGTGACTCTTCAAGTTTTCTTCTTCCAGGTTAACCTATTCTATTCAGCTTTCTTATCTATTCAATATAATATCTACTTAATTACAAGCCCCATTTTTTCCGTCTCGTTATAGTATTTTTAAACACAAACATACTATTTGAATATTTCTGAAGATTTGCATATGGCAAAACCCGCATAAGCTACCCAAGAGAGATCAACATGCCAGTTCTTAAAAACAAAGGAACAATTCTGTCCTTTATATGCCTTTGTGAAGGAGTCCTTCCTCACAGGTTACCACAAGCCCCCAGAAGAAACGTACGCGTGGAATTTTATCCCCCTGCAGACTGATACATCCTGAGAATTAACTATGAAGCTTTTTAATTGGCCAGGCTGAAATATGAGTATCCTGCAAGCCATGAAATAAGCAGGTGATGCTATGGAAAGCATTCAAGTGAGGACACATAAATGGCAGGTAAGTCACAGGAATTTATCCAGGCTAATAGTCTTTATTTGGCTTCTACCCAGGCACTTGGCTTCTTACCTGGACTGCTTTAATTCAGTGTACTCTACAGTTAAGCTCTATTAGCTGAGTACAGAATGAAAGGATTTAACTTTTTATCAGATGAGCAGTACCAAGAAGCTTCAGGCATGGGAGAATTTATGCCTGGTGATTCTTTACAGCCTGCTCATTGCATTTACATTGAGGGATAGGCACAGCTGGGGTTGCCTCCCTACTTGGTAGAGGATGAGACGTGAGTTTTCCACAGTTTGTGCATCAGCACTTGCCCCAAATGCTGCTCAGTTTGATTCCAAACAAGTCACTTACCCATAAATGCTGTGAAGACACTTCACCTGGAATATTTTCAGGGAGAACCAAAATGTATGTATGCTCTGCAACTGGTATACAAGGCAAAAATGCCTGAAGGCTGGGCCATCAACTTTCAGCCCCAGATACCTGATTCCCAAGTATCTACCATAAAAAAGAAGGGAACAACAAAAATAAAAGTGTCACCCTGAGAATTAAACCTTCTGATCTTGTTTTCATAGTTTCTAGCCACTTTCCCAGGAAAGTAACTATAAACATAGATGTTTATACATTCCATTAAAGACTTGACTTTTGATGGACATTTCTCATGACCAGTGTGGTTGAGAAGGTGGTAACTTAATTATCCAGTCCCTGGTCATTGTTGAGAATCTATAAATACTGGAACCATGGAATAAATTGCTCTCTTTTTCCTATCACACATTGAGCTGTGGCTGTGTGAATCATTTCATGTCCAACAGTGACAGAAAAGCAAAGCAAAACCAAAGTATACTCTTAGAAGCAAAAACACTCTGAAGAAATTTTGTCAGAGAAGGCTTCCCAGCCACCCAGATGAAAAACTACTGTTTCACTCTAAAAACTGAGCATTTGACAAGCCTGGAAAGGCTGTGCTTGTTATCCAGTGCAGAGTGAAAAGAAGTAGTAAAGCCCCAGACAGATCCTGATATTCTCTAGGCAGTGCTTTTAGCTCTCTATTGTGCTGTTACAATAGCACGTCCAAAAGTCTGTGGGTAGGCACTGCTCCTCATTCCACCCAGTCTGAGGACAAGTGAGGATAAACCAGAAAAGGGCTCTCTGCAAGATATTACTGCCTTTTGGGTGAACCAGCTATGACCAATGCTTTAGACAGTATATTTTACATATTTTACAGATGATCAAGGAAAAAACAAGTCACCACATAACCACACTAGGATCCAAAGCTAAGAAGTTTAGGGGATTTCCTCATCATAGAACTTGTGGAATGATAACATACTGTAAATATAGTGTTAAAAATTATTGTAGCTCCACAGATATTCTTAGTATTCTATGGATGTCCAGGAAAGTGACACATACATGGAACCATATACAAGATGAACTGTAAGAACCCTTATCCACCAGCAGAAAAGAGCATCCTGGGATGAAAAAATAAATTAAAAAAAAAATCAGACAGTGACCGGGTGATCAAACTGCACTACCACTGAAGTTTTAGAGCAAATCTTTAATTATGACTCCAGGGAAACAGATGTAAATTTGGAAGACAGACATACTTCCCTAAGATGGTCACTGTAGGAAGGAATATGATCAGCTGGTCAAAATTACTCTGGCTAAAGTAATGCTGCCTTTATTCAAAACCAATCCAGGTCAGTGCATTACATTTTTGAAACTGAAGACCAAAGAGCAGCTGGAAAAAATACAGACTGTGGCTGATAAAAACTAGACTACATTAACAAAAAACCCTTAATGCCTTACAGCCTTGCTGCAGAAGTCACATCCTGGCATCAGAGTTAATCAAGACCCATGAAAAATAGGAAGGAACACAAACAATGGGTGTCATTCAAATCCTGCTTTTCTTGATAAACTTTGGTTCAACAAACACCCACTACCACACTGCTCATCTGATTTACACCCCCTGCCCCACTGAGCAGGGATTTACGTTAAGTCTTGACCTGGTGACATGTTGGCATAAATGTGGGGCCAGGAATCTTGACGTCTTCCCAGGCAGCAGGACAAGAGACCCCACTTCTCTTGGAGACACAGAGGGACTTCAAGCTTTGAGCCTTTAGCTAAGGAAAAAGAGCCCCAGTGCTTTCAGTTGAAACTAATGCTTTTCTGTGTCTTGCACTTTCCTTAAAAGGCAGGAACTGAAATCTGTTCAGTTTCCCAAATAACATGTAGGCTCTGTTGCTGTGCGTCACAGCGGTGTCTCCGCAGAAGAAAATCATGTCTCACATGACCCATGTCGTGGCACAAGGATACAGAAAAAGCCTGGGGGGTTCCAAGCCCAATTCCTAGCCTGTGGTGTAGGGTGTAAGAAACCTGCTGTCGCTGCCTGCTGGGGATGGCCCTGTTACAAACTATCGCTGAACCCACAAAAGGGCATTGTCCAAGGAACCGCTCATATCCAAGGCCAGAATCACGCTAGGACACGTAAATATCCTCTGCCTGCTCTAAACATGAACAACCTGGTCTTGTCAAGCAGTGTCTCACTAAGTGACACTGGTCCAGCTTTGGGCCCCAGTGCAGACACAGCATCCCAGCGTGGTTCTCATCTGCCATGCAATGAAAGGCCTTCAAAACACTGCAAGGCAGCACCTGTGCTCTTTGTCACTCTCTTTTCCTGGTCAGTCTCAGATCTGCTCTAGGGGGTGATCCCAAAGCTCTATCAGATCACCTCCACCTCAAGGCCTCTCCTTCAAGGTAATGCTTAGTACAAGCTCTTTTGTGTTTGGAATGGTTGTTGTAGAGTAAAAAGATATTGTTTGTGGGGTGTAAGGACTGTTCGCTTCTGTTTCTTCCCAGTGAAGACTTTTGTGTCTCTGGCAGTAGCAGATTCATTAGGTCAAACCCTCTTCATAGTCGATGCTGTAGATCTAAGTTCACAATAGACAGGTATAATACTCCTTGAAACATTTCTTTAGTTTGTATTGCATTATTGCCCTGAAGCAGGTATCAAAATAGCCAGGTGAATATGTGCTGGTGTTTCTAAATATATTAGTGGAATTTAAAGCCAGTCATGGAGTTTGGATTTAGTTAAACAACAGTGAAACTGCCAATGACCATCAAATTTCTGTGATTTCTGAAGCTTATGGTGTCCCCCCTGTCCTGTCCCATGCTGCAACCCACCCCCCCTGGTCTTTTTCTGTTCATTATTAATACTAATTAAGACCAGATCATTTACTTGATCCATGACCAGGTTATTACACACTCAGAGACATTACACTAATGCAACTTCTCCTTAATTCATCATTAGGAAGCACACTCATGTGCCAAATTTGAGCACACTTTTTCATCATATTACCCAGTTTGGCTTAAAAAATACAAAAATAGTGCTGTGACCAGTGGAGAAATGCTTCCCCTGAGGGGACATTGCTGTGCATGAGTGGGTTTCTCTCCAATGTTTACTTCATCTGACAAAAATTATCTGAGCATGCTACACTTTGTGGGCTTCCAAGAAGATGTGAAAGATAAATGAATTACCTCAGCTGAGACTGCTACTTCAAAGCAAACCAAGAGCAGCATGTTCTGCTCTGCTTGGATTCTTCCCTCACAGTTTTCAGCCTTGGATTGTCCCTTGGCAGAGGGGAAAACAGCTCTTAAACTTACACGCAACTGAGGCAACCTCTAAAAACCGTAAACATATTACTATTATTATTTAATATTATTAAGTTGTCTAATATGACGCTCTTATACCCCTAGTGTTATCCTAACAAAGTCTCATTCTTCTTTCAGATGATCAGACCTTCTTATGGGCTCTAGGAAAACCACGTTTCCACTCATTGGTGACTCACCACTTCAACTCCTCCTGCACAGTATCTTCCTCCAGAACAGTGTAATCAGAACCAAAACTGTGATGACTACTAGAAGCACCGCAATAATCACCAGCCAAAGAAATGATGATCCCTTTTCTGTGAAAACAAAACAATAAAACACCCATAGCAAATTAATCTAGCTTATTGAGAAAAGAAGCAAAATGAGCCAAGAGGATGTCTGATTAATGAGAGTGGTTCCTCTGATATGGCTAAAGGTATTGCTGAGATAAGTGAAAGCAGCAATTGCTCAAAAGAGAGAATAAACCTGTATATCTTCAAAAATAAACTGCTTGGCCACATGTGAAAATGTGAAGACAAGATGTGTTCATGGCAAAGAACACTGCCATTCCCATAGCTGATAGAGTGGTTGGCATATGTACACAAGCAGAACTTCACACAAGTCTTAACACTTTCAGAACAGTTTTTTTGTTTGCTTGGAATTTTATTATTTTTACTTTTAAACACTTACCACTGGTGAAAAGGCAACATTAAGAAAAGAAGACAGGCTATGTTTTGCTGCCTACAAATATCTCTACCCAACAGCTGAATATAAATGTTCCTCCCTGGTTAGACATTAGCCACTTCATTTGACTGCTATCAATCAAAATGTTATACAAAGGCTCATTTCACTGACATTAGCTGGAAAACTGAATGACTTGAAATCTATTTGACTCAAGCTAAAACTGCTATGTCTTTTAATAAAGACACATTGAACTAGTTATTTGAACTTCATGTCCTCTAAAATATCAGACTGTCAAAACAACAAGTTGTTAGCTGATTTTTTATCCACTTAGCAAGAAATAACAACAGTCTTAGTTTTCTGCTTTCTGAGATATACATTTTGTTTTTAAATGTGTGAAACAAATATTTGAGACAGGACAAAAAAAGTAATATGCTTTTTCAGAATTGTAATTGAGAATGAAGAACTTAATTGCTTTTGGATGTTCAGAGAGCAGATATTAAAAATCAGATACTGCTCTTTACTACTATTCCAATAACAATCACTTCTTGAGCATGTAATTTCAAAATTAACCCACAGCTACAAGCTGCTTTTCCTGTCTTGCTAATTTACAAGTGGTCTTCAATTTAAGGCTCTGGATACAGAGCCATGTGAAGTTTAAATTGCCCAAGTCAGTGTTCCTGCATGAACTAAGAATGGTAGCTCAGCTTTTAATGTTTCTGTTCCTCATCTGCAGAAACAGCGTGAAAATCTTATAAGCAGAACAGAATGTTGGAAGAAGAAATAAATTAACACTACAAGACACTGATAAGTTACAGTAATGTATCTAAAATTTCTGTATAAATCAAATGTTCGAATCTTCAACTGACCCTGAAAGTACTATTCCTCTGTGACCATTAGTGCAGTGGACATGTGCCTTAGCAAAAAGTCAGAGAAACTAAATCATAATATACTGGTTAAATAAAACAAAACATAGAATAAGTTGAACTGAAACATCTGATTCAGAGACTGTTTGTTTTGAATTTCAAAATTTCTGAGTTCATGAAGCAACCCATAGAGTTTCTATTCATAGATATCAGATGACATATCTATATTTATTTTTAGGCTGTTAGGAGTAATTAGGAAGGTCTACATGGGAACCTTAGTTCAACTTACTGCAAAATGCACGGTGCCTCTAAACCCCATATCTCTCTAGGTGATTAGTCTGCCTTTTTTCCTCTCTTGGATATGACTCCAATATATTATTTATTACCTGAAAGAAAACAATGAACGCAAGCAGGATTTCCTGACATACACATTTCTCATTCCCTCCCCTTCCCAGAAGGTTCCTATCCAAATATGCTACTACATGGAGGCCAAGAGAATGCTAACAAATTGCTTGTACTGCTCACCTACCTTCCCCTATTTTCACAGGCAATTCAAATGTTTCTTCTGTGTTGTTTACTCTGCAGGTCAAATCCTGTGCCTTGATGCTCTGAATGTTGTAGATTTCCAGTTTACTCGTGATGGACACAATCCCATTTTTGTGCTTGACTATCTTCTGTGTAGGAGTAGAATTGAACAGGTTGTTCCAGGTGACTGTGGGCTCTGGGAAGCCATCAGCATTGCAGATGGCTATCAAATGACCTTCAGAAATGTTGTGATGGACTGATGCATTAAGACCTTCAAACACACAGATGAGAAAAGTGATCACCACAGTGAGCACCTGGTCATAAGCAGTAGAAGCACTCTAACCATTATGAATCAGAGCAAAGCTTACTCAATTCACACTGAGCCCAATGGCAAGGAATGCAAGAAGAGTTCCACAGGTCAGGTGCCCTCCATGCCTCAATGCCCCCATACTGAAGTTATATACCCCAAAGATTTCACTCAATCTGAAATCCAAGCATGGATTATTTTAAAATAATCTGTTAAGTAAAATAATTTCTTGGTCCTATCTGCTAATTCCCTATCAATGGTAGGGTTTGGCAGAGCAGCTCACAGCACTGCCAAACGCTTGCACCAAAAGGAAACTGCAATGGGCCATGCTGGTTTGCCCAAGCTCCAGCTGATCAATGACTTAAAAATATTCCACTCCTTGATTTTCAGCTGCTGCTTCAAGGAGTAACAAATAAAAGCCAAAACAACCACAATAGGCTTGACCCCTAGACCCCCAGAGTTTTGCTCACAGCAGTAGTGCTCTGTTTCTACATCATGTTCCACCAAGGGGTGCCACTATCACTGCAGTTCTTGAATCAGCTCAAGGAAATACTGTGGGTGAGGAAACACCTCTTATTTCACTAGAGACATATCCCTGCAGAGAACCTCACCAAAAACAGTCAGGCAGGTGGTTGCTGAGAAGGGGCCCAAAGGGAAAGCATTGAAGACACACTTGTAACATCCTGAATCATCCATTCTAGTGACCCAAAAAGTTATGCTTGTCTTGTTGAGTTCCAAACTTGTGAAATTCATTCTGTCTTCATAGGGCTTGTGAATCTTCAATCCGTTACTTGTACTGTATGTAGCTATATTGTCATGCATGTTGTCACGGAAATCTTCTGAGTCCTTTTGCCATGTCACTTGCAGAACATCCATGGGTTTTGTCAGGGCACAGCTCAGAGTCGCACTGTCGCCCATCCTCACTTTTGTGTGTTCCTGTAGGAGCACTGCAATGACAGTAAACAGTTAATGAGATGGGCAAACATCACACATATTCAGAAGCCTAATGTTGATTCTAAGGCCTGGATTACCCACAGACACAACTCCTTCAGTTACATACTGTTCTCTGGCTTTTCCCTACTAAAAAGTCCATCTCCAGCATACTTCTAGAAATGAATGAAGTTAAGTTGATTTACATTGGCTGAGGCTGTAGCTTTCTTCTAAACTTCTTAAAAGACAAAAAGACCTATTTCTGTAGTCATATCATATATACTAATTATATAATTCAGTTAATTAGTATATTAAGTTTTACTAAATCAGCTTATGACTTCCGAGTCTCAGCAAATACTCAATTTTTGTTTCCTTAGAGCTAGAGGAAGATTGAATGCGTAAGAGAAGGACACACCAAGCCATTATCAGAGAAGTAAACAGCAAAATGCCTTTAAAAGGCTTCCTGAACTGTAGTTTCAGAGTCAAACAGCACCAGCTATCTGTATTTCACCTATTTTTGTCTCTTACTCTGTTGAAGCCTCACAAAGCTGAAACCAGTTTCCCAAACTATTTCAACCAGATTGCAGGAAATTCAACTTACCATTTGCTTTTCCAAGCCCAGAATATGTCAAACACAAAACCAGAACTTGTAAAGTCATTTTGGAAGAGAAAACCTGCTTCACCTAAAGAAAAACAAGGAGACATGATAGATCATCTTGTGGTGATATTGTACATTCAGGGTGCAAAAATTACCTGTAGATTTCTCATGTGAAAAAGAATGTAGTTCTGTGGTCACGCAGCAAGACTTGACAAGTCTTATTGCCCTGTTTCCTACAACTGAATTGTACACCTGCCTGGAACTGAAGTTGGTGTTATATTCAAGTGGAAACATTATTTTGCCAAAAATACCTCTGTAACACACTGAACCCACTGCTGAGTTTGTTTGCCAGACAAACAAATGCCTGCAAAACTAGCTGAAGCATCTGGGGACCATCTTTTGTCAAGAATGGAAGCAAAGCCCAACCTTTTAAAGATTTGATAACATGCAAAAACTAAAAGAGACAATCAACTGAAAAGCATTATACAGGTTAAAAAAGGAGGGCTGTTAAATAAATAAATAAATAAGAGGAAGAAAAAAATATTTAAAAACAAATTGCCAGCAAACTTGCATACATGCTGCATACACCCACAGCCAGTAGCCTGTCTTTAAATTTTAAACACCCTGTGCTGAAACAACTCCTGATACAACTCTGCAGTTACCAAGAACAAACAGAGACCAAGTTGTTATGAGTAGAATCAGGAAACAAGAACCCATCAGCAACAAGCCCAGCTGAAAAAAGTTTATGTAGTCAGGAGCATGGCTATAAGAAATTCAGATAAATATTTCTAGAAGCACGCAGAAATCAAGGGCCAGCATAGCAAACAAACTGTCGAGTCCCAGAATTGTTTATAAAGTAGTGGACGATGTACCACGCCAGCAGGCAAGCAGAGTTTTCAATAACAATTCTTTGCTTCACTGCTTTAGTACCCTTTAAAGCCCCTGATACCCCACTACACACACCCGGGGTAGCTACAAGAATTCACACAATGAAAACCAAAGCTATACCGTGTAGCTATAACACAGTAGCTGTACGGGCACAGAAAGAAAGAAGTCCCTTTAAGTCACAACCCCAAACACGGGTGCTGCAGCGGGTGGGGAAACAAAACCCAAAACAAACAGAAGAGGAAGGAAAAAAACAAAATAAAAGGAAAAAAGAAAAGTCGCTAAAGACTGGGGCAAATAAAGCTCAAATCCTTTATTGGATTGTCCCTCCCTAGACAAACCGCTCCCCCGCCAATTTTATGAGAATCTTCTTTAATTTCAAAGATACTCTCACCCTCCTGGAGTCACTCAGGGTTCCGAAGGCAGCTGCCGACCGAGCCCGGCACCCGGAGGACGCTCCCGCCTGGGAAAGACGGGAGGGGCAGCGGGCGGCGGCTCCAGCTCTCGTCCCGGCGGGTCCCGCTCCGGGCAGCGCTGTCAGGCACCCACAGGCAGCCCCGAAACCCTCCTCACACCTGGGAATGTGTCCGGGGAAGACGGTGAGAGGGATGGCTGCTCATGGCCAAGGACACGGAAGCGGGGAGAGAGGTTCCCACGCCCGCGTTACGGTCCGTGTCCCACAGGCGAAGCTGGGGGGTGCCAGCGAGTGCTTTACACACCCAGTGTTAACCTTTTCCTCAAGGGTATTCATAACAGCCCAGTAATAAATTATTTTGGGATAATAACTGGGATAGGTCCTTTGTTTCACTGCTACCTTTCTGTTGGGTGGGGAGGAGAAGGGGCAGTAAGTGATACCAGGCAAAAAGATGTTTTTCAATCTCAAAAAAAATCCATTTTTCTGTTTTTCAATTAGGGTCTTCACTGATAAGACTACAGCAGGGAAAACTTATTAGACCTTGTTGCAGGCTTGGCAGAAACAACCCATTTCCCAGTCTGATTAATTAGAAACAGCATTCTTAATGATCAATACAGGACATTCGGTGCCTGCTCTTTCTTCAGATGCTTTCATTCACATGCACCTGTTCATACACTGTTCATATCAGCTGCAATATTTATCTTGCCAGGCTCTAGAAGATCTCCTGTTTTAAGCCATGAACACTTTGTGTTCTCAAACACCCAATAAGTAGTAGCAGTCAGGTTTCCCCCAACTAATAGGGAGAATTCTATAGGTGAGAAGGAACAAAAGGAAGGACACCTAACCCCCAACATTATCCACCTCAAATTCTTTCCCATACCATGTTACATCAAATTTTAAACCTCTGTTATAAATACATATTGTGATATTGGCTTTTTGCAAGTATTAAGATGAATGTTATATGTATAATATTAGAATAGCTTTTCCTATGTCTTTTTCTCCTGCTGTTACCTAGAATTTAGGTGTTAGGATTAAGTCCTGTCTGAATGGGTAGGATAACCTCCAGTGAACAGATGATGGGGCCCAGGCTGCTATCAACACTTACTGCCTGTGGATGAAGAAGCCCAAGCCCAAATCAAAAGAGGATAAGAGAGAAATTATAACCACAAAGTCAAGAAATGTGCATGCTCTAAAAAGGCTGACCCAAGGACTGCCCACGCAAAACATTTCCTAGAAAATTTGAATATGCATACAGTCCATGCTGTACAAATACTATTTAAAGGGTGTTTCCAAAGCACCAGGTGTGCTCTTGGCAGAGTGCCAAGCACCCAGTCAAAAAGGTTTTGACCCTTTGCTTTATTTTCTTTGTCTTCTACTTTGTCTTCTACTGTCTTTTTGTTTATATTAAACCTTTTAAAATTTATCAGGAGAGTGAACCTCTTTTTTCACACCTTTAAATTACATACAAACATCCACTACCTTAATTATAAACATATGTACTTGCAGATAGAGATACAAGCACAGTGTCATGGGTAGTTCACCCTAAAACAAGGTCCCCTTGAGGTATGCACTGGGTCTCTCCATCCTTTTGCATCACCCACCAGGTGCAACCCAGTCCTTGAGCAAAGACATCTGTAGGAGACGCTTTCTGGGGACGGTCAGAGACACGTCAAAGACCTCTATAATCGAGTTAAGTGTTAGAAGTTTATTTCAGGGCGTGGGGTAGAGAGGTAGAGAGAGAGAGAGAGAGAGCGAGAGCAAGAGAGAGAGAGCAAGAGAGGGCAAGAGAGAGAGCGCAAAGAGCAAGAGCCAGAAAAAAGAGAGAGCGAGCTCTTCTATACCACTACTTATATAACCTATACCTTTGAATATTCTATTCCTTTACTAACCAATCTTTCTAAGTATACTAATATAGTAACATTTGTGTACAACCTATAGAAATCGCTATTTTTGCATATTTTTAGTTATCTCAGGGTCCTTCAGACCTTTCCTTATAAGGCTGGGATGAGGGGTCTCAGCTTGGTTTTATTGCAGGAAAGAATGTGTTCTGGCATACCAGCCCGGTTTCTTTGAATTATTCAAACCGTGCTGTCATTTGTATTTCTTCCTTAGCCTTTCTGGCTACAAAGTCATATTTATAATTTCTTTCTAATTCTACCTTCCCAACAGACAACCCCATGGATTGGATTGTCTTTGCTGGAGGCAGAATTAACCCAAACAGTTTTTCCCAGCATACCTCTCATATGTACCACTGGAACTTTATCTCCATCTGTTGTTCCCAAGGGCTGAGATTGGTCAGGGCCTGCTGGGTTAGTGGAACCCTGGGTGTTCACTAACCATGTGGCCTTTACTTAATTAATCTCCCAGTTCTTTAAAGTCCCCCCACCCAGTGCCTTCAAGCTGGTTTTAAGCAAGCCATTGCACCGTTCAACTTTTCCAGCAGCAGGTGCATGGTAGGGGATATGGTACACCCACTCAATGCCATGTTCCCTAGCCCAGCTGTTTATAAGGCTGTTCTTGAAATGAGTCCCATTGTCTGACTCAATCCTCTCAGGGGTGCCATGCCTCCAAAGGACCTGCTTTTCAAGTCCCAGGATGGTGTTCCGGGCAGTGGCATGAGGCACAGGGTATGTCTCCAACCATCCAGTGGTGGCTTCTACCATTGTGAGCACGTAGCGCTTGCCTTGGCGGGTTTGGGGCAGTGTGATGTAGTCAATCTGCCAGGCTTCCCCATACCTACATTTGGACCAACACCCACCATACCATAGCGGCTTCAACCGCTTGGCCTGCTTGATCATGGCACACGTCTCACAGTCATGAATGACCTGGGAAATATTGTCCATGGATAGGTCCACCCCTCAGTCTTGTGCCCACTTACAGGTGGCATCTCTCCCTTACAGGTGGCATCTCTCCCCTGATGACCTGAGGCGTCATGGGCCCATCAGGCTAGGAACAACTCTCCCTTGTGTTGCCAATCTAGGTCAATCTTTGACACCTCTATCTTTGCAGCCTGATCCACCTGTTAATTGTTTTGGTGCTCCTCATTAGCCCAGCTCCTGGGGACATGGACATCTACATGACGGACCTTCAAAGACAGTTTCTCTACCCTGGTAGCAATGTCTTTCCACTCATCAGCAGCCCAGATTGGTTTTCCTCTACACTGCCAATTGGTCCTTTTCCATTTTTCTAGTGAACACCACAGAGGCTACCATCCATGAATCTGTGTAGAGATAGACCTTTGGCCACTTCTCTCTTTCAGCAATGTCCAGGGCCAGTTGAACGGCTTTGAGTTCAGCAAGTTGACTTAATCCACCTTCTCCTTCAGTGGCTTCTGTGACCTGTCGTGTGGGGCTCCATATGGCTGCTTTCCACTTCTGGTTCATCCCTACGATGCGACAGGAACCATCAGTGAACAGAGCGTAGCGTGTTTCTTCTGCTGGCAGCTGGTTGTAGGGTGGAGCTTCTTCACCCTGTGTCACTTGTTCCTTCTCCTCTTCATCAGTGAGACCAAAGTTTTCACCTTCTGGCCAGTTTGTAATTATCTCCAAAATCCCAGGGCGATTCAGTTTTCCAATACAGGCGCGCTGTGCGATGAGGGGAATCCACTGGCTCCATGTAGTGTCGGTGGCGTGGTGGGTAGCAGGAACCTTCCCTTTGAACATCCACCCCAGCACTGGCAGTCGGGGTGCCATGAGGAGTTGTGCTTCAGTGCCAATCACTTTTGAGACGGCTTGAACTCCTTCATAGGCAGCTAAGATTTCCTTCTCTGTGGGAGTGTAGCTGGCTTTGGACCCTCTGTAGCTTCGGCTCCAGAATCCCAGTGGTCGGCCTCGAGTCTCCCCAGGCACTTTCTGCCAAAGGCTCCAGGACAGACCATGGCTCCTGGCTGCAGAGTAGAGCACGTTCTTCACATCGGGTCCTGTCCTGACTGGGCCAAGGGCTACTGCATGAGCAATCTCCTGTTTGATCTGAGCAAAGGCTTGCTGCTGTTCAGGGCCCCAGTGGAAATCATTCTTCTTGCAGGTGACCAGGTAAAGGCTCACTCGGGAATGTGCATCCTCCAAAAACCTATGGCTCCTAGGAAAGCTTGTGTTTCCTTCTTGCTGGTTGGTGGAGTCATGGCAGTGATTTTATTGATGACTTCAGTGGGAATCTGATGCTGTCTCTCTTGCCACTTTACCCCCAGGAACTGGATCTCTCGAGTAGGTCCTTTCACTTTGTTCTTCTTGATGGTGAAGCTGGATTCCAGCAGAATCTGGATGATCTTTTCTCCTTTCTCAAATACTTCCACTGCCGTGTTCCCCCACACGATGATGTCATCAATGCACTGCAGATGTTCTGGAGCCTCACCCTTTTCCAGGGCAGCCTGGATCAGTCCATGGCAGATGGTGGGGCTGTGCTTCCACCCCTGGGGCAGTCGGTTCCAGGTGTACTGCACTCCCCTCCACGTGAAGGCAAACTGAGGCCTGCATTCTGCTGCCAGGGGAATGGAGAAAAGTGCATTGGCAATGTCAGTAGTGGTGTACCACTTCGCTGCCTTGGACTCCAGCTCATACTGGAGCTCCAGCATGTCCAGCACGGCAGCGCTCAGCAGTGGAGTCACTTCACTCAATACACAATAGTCCACAGTCAGTCTCCATTCTCTGTCAGACTTGTGCACAGGCCAAATGGGGCTGTTGAAGGGTGAGTGGGTTTTGCCGACCACCCCTTGGCTCTCCAGTTCTCGGATCATCTTGTGGATGGGGATCACAGCATCTCGATTTGTCCAATACTGCCGGCGGTGCACCGTCGAGGTGGCAATTGGTACTCGCTGTTCTTCCACTTTCAGGAGTCCTACTGCAGATGGGTTCTCTGACAGTCCAGGCAAGGTGTTCAATTGTTGAATGTCCTCTGCCTCCACAGCAGCTATTCCAAAAGCCCACCTGAGTCCCTTTGGGTCTCTGTAATAGCCATTCCAAAGGAAGTCCATGCCCAGAATACACGGGGCCTCTGGGCCAGTCACAATGGGATGTTTCCGCCACTCCTTCCCAGTCAGGCTCACCTCGGCTTCCAACAGAGTCAATTGCTGCGATCCCCCCAGCAATGGAAACAGGTTCTGCCCCCACATGTCCTGATGGCATTAGGGTACACTGTGCACCAGTATCAACTAAAGCTTCGTATTTTTGTGGCTCTGATGTGCCAGGCCATTGGATCCACACTGTCCAAAAGACCCGGTTTTCCCATGCCTCTTCCTGGCTAGAGGCAGGGCCCCTCTAGCACTGGTCATCCTCTCCTCCCTGGGCATACATGCTAGAGGTTCCTGCAAGGGATCTGGCAGATCATCCTCCCTTCTGTAATATCTGGCAATTTGGTCATGGGAGATTGAGGCTACCTTCACTTTACTGGAACTTTTCTGGTTAGTGTTTCCGTCCCTGAGTTGATTCACCCATGCTGCCAGGGCAGAAGTGGGTTTCCCATCCCACTTTCCCATGTCTTCCCCATGATGATGCAGGAAGAACCACAGCTCAGCTCGTGGGGTGTACCCTCTCTCTCTATCTGGGGCATGTTGGGCTCTGATTTTCAGGCCTGTGACTTGCACTGGTGCTGCAATGATTTTCCTCACCTCCTCCCTCATCTCCCTCACCTCCTCTTTAAACTCCTCTTTGAGTTCCTTAATCACAGCAGAGACCTGAGACTGCTGAGGGCCATGGACCATACTTGTAATTTCTAAGCTTGGTGGTGACAGAACCCACCGTCTCTCGGCTGTTATCGGCATTAATCGTTGCAATATAGGTGGTGTAGTCACGTGGCCCTAGATTTGCCAGACTCCACAACATCTGCCCAGTGCACCTGACTTTGTCGGGGTCATTATCATGCTGTCCACCCCTCCCAAAAAGGACCTCTAATATTGCCACTTCTCTCAGCTGTTGGATCCCTTCCTCAATGGTTTTCCATTCCCTTCTACAATAGTGCTCTTCCATTCTCTCTCTGTGGACAAACCTCTTACACTCATCAAAAGCCGCTCCCAGAGGGAAAGTGGCCCTTGCTCCCTGACGAATATCTGATTCACACCTGAGTCCTGCGTCAAGGGTCCCACATTCCTTGCCTCACCACCATCCAGCTGCACGCCTGTACCCATAAGGTCCCAGACCCGAAGTAACCAGGTTGTATAAGCCTCACGCCACATTGTGAATGTCTTTTTGCAGATTACAGAGACAGTCATATGTCAGAGACTCAGTAATGATTTCAACTTCTGGCTCCCCTGTGGGTTGTGAGGGCCCTCCTTTCTTATCCTTATCATCAGGATACTGTAATTTCATGTTAGACTTCCTCGTTTCCACAGGGGCAACAGCTGCTGGCTGTGACTGCCCTTGTGGTTCAGCTGGAACCTGGACGGTTGTAACATCTGTGGGTTCCACTGCAGCACCATCAGACTCTCCCTCTTCGAGGCAGGGGGAGGGTTTCCCAGCAGCTGGGGAAGTGGACTCTATCTTCTGGCTCATCTCACGTATCTCCTTCACCAGACCCCCCACCCACTCTGGGTGGTTCCTTTCTGAGGTGGGCTGTGGGGCAGGGGCAGGCTCTGGGGCAGCACCTCCCATCTCTGAGGTTGTGTCAGGTTCTGGGGCAGCATCACTAATCTCTGGGTTAGGTGACAGGGTGCTTATCTCAGTCAGTGTCCCCTAATCTCTGAATGCTAAATAGACTGCTAGAATGCTAAATAGAATGCTGAATATCAGCAACACCAGCCACTGTATTGACATTATTAGCCTCTAGAGAAGATTTTAACCCTTCAAAAACTGGTGGGATAGGGCCAAGGAACTGCATGAAGGGTTGTGAGAAAGTTTCCCCTGCTTTCATTTCCTCATGGTACCATTATTAAAGTAAACTCAAAACAGTAGAATTAGTGTGCAATAACTCTGAATCCATGTGCTCGCTGCCCTGCTGTCATGGATGTTAACTTAAAAGGAAGTTAAACATCTGTGAATTCCTCACCTTATCAACCCACAAAACAAACTGGATAATAGCCACACGAGCCTTAGTTATAGGACCCATGTTTAGGTAAGGTGCAGCAAATGGGAGAAATACAGCCGTGACCACATGCCACCTGAACCTGGGTAAGCTAAACAACATGGTTCTACCTAACAGCGTTTCTATATCCAGCACACAAAAGTTATGTTATTAAAGAACTGTTATTCCTTTTTCACACTTTTTCTCTCAGTGCCCTCAAGCCCCATTGCTGGGCGCTAAAAATCTGTCTTGGTTTGGAAGACACGTGTATGCTAGGGAGGGCAGGACCCTCCCTTGGAATAAAAAATGTAGACACCCTTCCCCCCTGAATTATTAAAATTTTGAAATGAAGGGATTCTTAGGCAAAGATATGGGAATTGGAATAACAGTTCTTTACTAGTATGTATAACAAGGCAAACAAACAGCAATAACTATGGCATTAATTACAAATCCAGGAAGGAAAAAAACAACTGTTGTTGCCTGTTTTTGTGCCCTGTACAGTTGTAGTGGTGTTGGAACAAAAAAAGGACACTGGCCATCACCATGCAGAATGTTAACAGACCAGACAGTACTGCTAGAACAAGATGATGTGGAGTTAAAAGTTACTAACCTGGAGTTAAAACCTGAATCCAGCGCTATTCTTAACAGCTGACCCATAATGAAAGGAATTAGCCCATGATTGTTTGCAGACCACTGAACAGGTGTACTGTATTTTGAGATATACATACATACACATACACACACATATAGAATTTGGAAGACATGGATTGGGACCGCTTCGTGGGTTGGAGCAGCTTTGTGAAAAATGGAATCTGAAAAGCCAAGTAACTCAGTGGTAACTCAGCATGAGGTAATAGATGCCAACACATCAGCTCAGAAATCACAACTGATTGCATTAACAAGATCACTGAAGCTCTCACAGAACATGATTGTAAATATATGGACAGACTCAAAATTTGCTTTTGGAGTGGTCCATGCTCATGGATCCATTTGGAAAGAGAGGGCTGTTAACCACCCAGGGATCCCCTGTGAAACATGGATGAATAATACAGATTGTTAGAGAGGGTGCAGCTACCTTGAAAAGTGGCATTAATGCATTGTAAAGCTCATCAGTCTGGACAGACCCCAGCAAATACTGGAAACTGCCTGGCTGACAAAGCAGCCAAGGAGGCTGTTGGTCTTACCTTAGAAATAACAATATTTGAACAAGCAAGCTTCTCATTTCGAGGCTAAAGATGAGAAACTGGCAGAATTGTTAGATGCTGAAGAGTCCTGAAGGATGGTGGATTACATCCAGCCAACAAGTGATGATTCCCCAACACCATATGAGGAAAATTGCAGGGGAAGAACATATGGTAACTCACTGAGGAACAGAGTCTAAGTAGAAACAATGAAGCCTCAGGTTTTGAACATACAAATGACTGATATCATAACAAGCATTGTTAGCAAGTGTCAAACACTTAAAGAACAATGCACATCAAATTAGCCAAGAAAGGAAATTGCCCAGGAGACTATTAACAAATAGGTTTTGCTGAGCTGCCATGGCAAAAGGGCTACAGGTATTTATTGGTACTGGTAGATACCTTTTCAGGATGACCAGAAGCTTCTTGTTGCACTAATAAATCTGGTAAAGATTTTGGTGAAGAAAATTATCCCATGGTTTGGAGTATGAGTGGGAATGTCACTAGACAAAGGTTCACATCATTTATGAAATAGCACAAAGCCCAGCTAAAATGTTAGGAGTAAAGTGGGGCTTGTGCACTCCATGGAGACCTTGGTTGAGTGGGAAAATAGGAAGAATGAACAAGAGTCTAACAGAATACATAAAATCTCATGGGAATGTGTTGTCTTCTCTCCACAGATACATTGTGCTGGCAGCACCCATGACACTGGATATCACAGCTCATCCGTACCATCCTGGAGACTTCCTCAAAACCTGGACTGAAGAGCCTCTCCAAGAAAAGTGGAAGGGGCCATATCAAGTGCTGCTAACTGTCAATACTGGTGTGAAGGTGCAAGAAGTAGGTTGTGATTTCCCAAAATAGGGTGGTTAAAACAACTGTTTGTACTTATTGTGGTGTTCCTACTCATGATCTTGATCGCTTGTTTCAATACATACTGCTGTATAGACTAGGTCAATACAGTAAGTGGACACGAGACTTTGAAAAAATTATATTAAAGTCTCAAAGGGGCAATTTGTTACCGAACAAGTTATATTATTATATATTATTATGAATAAACGGATGTTTATCATGACATTATGATTTATTGTTATTATGAATAAATTATTGTTGGCTTTCTAACCTAGCATGGTGCTTGTAGAACTTATTTCCCAGTTTTTGGTGATACAATGTCTTGGTTTAAAAGACAAATGTCTGCCAAGGAAGGCAGGAACCTTCCTGGAATGGAAAGACAACCCCTCCCTCAAAATTATTTGAACTTCAAAATTATGGGGCTTTGAGAGAAAAATATAGGAAAAGGAATAACAGTTCTTTATCAGAAAATATGTGTATATGTGTAAAAGAACAGAACAAACAACAACACAGTAATAGAACTTTTTCACCTGTTGAGCATGGTGTTTCCTCTCTGGTGTAGTTATGACCATGGTTGGCATGGAGTACCACTGGTACTGTCTCACAGTACTGAGCCTGTGCATTTTCTCTCCACAATTTCCACTTCCTGGTAAAAATGTTAACTTTGAAAAGTGGTACTTAAACATCATCTTGTGTTACGTTTATTCACACATTGATGGCTTCCAATCATAGCCACAATGGAAGGGCACACACACATCGACAACCACGAAAAAAATACACAGATAAATTCTAAAAAAAACCAAAACCAAACAAAGATAATGAGCACTTAATTGCAGGAAACTGTCATATGAGGAATACCAAGTTGTATCCCCCATTGTAACCCACATGTATGCAACATGACAGATTTGTAGAAAGACTGAATTGGCATGGGATTTTCAGAATTCAAAGAATCATTGTCTTTTAATGCTGAGCAGCTCTTGTGTAAAACACCACTTGAGATTGACTTCTGAAGGTCCCTTGGCCAAGAAGCCTGAGGTTACTTTCTAAAGGTTCATTCACCAATGCTGGAAACCGAAAAATAGAAACTTCCACAGATGCTGAAGGGTTCAATCTGCAGCCTTGGAAAGAGCTTGGATTGATGTAATGATGAAGGTACACAGACATTGGGTAGAGAAATTATAAACTTATGTTCCTATAATTCTAAGTAAGAATATGCCTAGAGTAGGCGAGAAATTATATTAGGTAAAATAGTTTGAGGTTTAAGCTATAATAGGGTGACTTAAAGAGTAGGTTAGAGCTCCAGAAACTATAACAGAGGTGTCTATAGAGGTGTCTATGAATACGTGACCTGTCAGCTTAGTGGCTAAGAGACAGACACAGTGCAGCAAAATTAAGCAAAGGTGATAGGTTAATAAGTGAAAACAAGTTTCATGTCAACTGCCTATTGGGTTAAAATGTTATATATTGCTGTGCAAAGAAGAAACTCGTGACTTCCTTGAGCTATGGCTGACTTGTTGCTTCTCTAAATCTCACGCCTTGAGACAGACATCTTACTTGAGCAATAAATCATCTCAAAGCATGGTGGTGCCACACCTTGTTCTTCATCTCAACACACCAAGAAGCTCAGCTGCATAAAATCCTGCTGTGAGAGAAGGCAACCCAGGGCAGAATTTGTCAGAGGAATTTGGGTCTGGCTGCTGTCCTTGGTATTACCAAATGGCTGCTATTCCCATTTCTCATTGAAAGGAATGAGAGGCATTTGGCTTTACAAATTTGTAAGAGATAAGGCCAGGGACAGAGACAAGATAGTAATAGTAGGAGTCTTTCAGAAGAATGTTACTAATTGACACAGAATATTGCTCAACCAAGGCCTTGTTAAATCAATGAACCTGGAGAAGAAAAAAGACACAAAGGGGGGTTGTGTGCACATTAGAAGGGAAATCATTAAATCTGTACCTTCCAAGTACCTCAGCCAATGGGGAAAGGGAGAGGGTTATGCAGCCAGGAAATCAGGATTAAAAAGGAAACTGTGCTCTCCAACAATTTGGGAGACCCCAGGGGAACTGCCCCATGGCCTTTCCCCTCATTTGAATAAAGTTATAGGACTTCTATGTCTCCTTTAGGACATAAAGCTCTGGCATCATAAATTTATCTGCACATCCCCTAGCACTGCACCTTCTTCTACTCATCACTGGCCAGCCTGGAAGTGTGGAGAAAAGGCTTGGGAATATTTCCACATTCCTTTCCCTGGCCTTTTGAAAGACCTTTTTCTCTGGGAGAGAAAAAAAGTACTGATATCCAGTGCCCAGTTCCTTCATCAGTCCCTTTCAACTTCTTCTCTCCCAGAAAACATGGTCAGGCTCCACTGCTGAACAGCCCTCAAAAAGTCATTTCAGCATGGAATGACTTTGGATATCGTGGTTGTAATTTCTTGATACCAGATATGGGGTTGTTGGATACCGAAACACTATTTGAAAGTGCAAAGAGGAAAAGCACAGCATTGGTGAGTTAATATTTTAATGGAAGACTCGCAAAAGGTATTTTCCCTTCAGTGAGTGGATTTGGGATTTCTCCAACTAGTGAATTAGAGAACTTAAATCCAACAGAAAACTTCTATTATATAGAGCATTTCTTTATTATAGTGCTGGAGACATGCTGGGAATCTTTTGCCATGAACAGGTCCCATGAGACACGGTTCCCTAGGGTTTAATTACATTGTCACACTTAGGATTTCCTTACAGCCCCTCCCAGAGTCTGACCAGCCATTACATCCAAGGTATCTTCTCTAATGTTGGCTTGGTGTGGAGCAGGGCTGCTGTATAGTATCCTTCACCTGCCATTATTTTGATTAGGGGGCTTTGTTAGTTCATCAGAGGGTCTCAATTATTGTCTGCCCTCTGGATGACCCTTGCATGCTGGCAGCTCCCAGCACATACATAATTCATGTCTGCTGACCCCCAGGTTTTTATCTTACTGTACTAAGTCACTGCTAAGGCACTACATCTACTTTTAGTTAAAGATAACCCAGAATTCCTCTTACCTAAACTGTTCTCTATTGAATTTGTTCTGTAGCCAAACAAACCTCTATTAATTTAGTTTTCTGAGGTGTATAGTTCTCTGGAGTTATTTCCTGCAGGTTCAAGGTCAGCTATTTCTTAGCTTTCTTGGGTTTTTAATCTTGTTCTACTGACACTAAGTTAAACACAGATTTAAATAAAAACAAAGTACAAAAACACCCACATAAATTCCTTAGGGGACAACTCCTTACACAGTTCAAGGCACTTCAAGATTCTTGGCTAAATGAGATATAATTCCTTTTCCCTAGGTGTTTATCACAGGCAGCACTCTATGCTGAGGCTGCACCACCACAGAATCTGTCAGAGGAGCCTTTGCAAATACATTGGGAGCACATCTCTGAAACACCTTGTGTAATGACCCACAGAGCTGGCCGGGAGCTTTCCCAGATCAAGGCCTTGAAAAAACAGGTTTTTTCCCCCCAAATACCAATCCTGGCCTAGTTCTGTTGGTCTTGGTCCATCCACAGCACAGATCCTTCTGCCTGATTGCTTGTGAGACATCAAAGAGCATCCTGGGACATTCCCTACTCATCAGCTGGTCTGGCTCGACCTCCGGTGGCCCTCGCAGGCTCACCTGTGCTCGCCGCAGGAGCCACACAGGCTCTGACTCTGGTCTGGGCTGGTGGCTGGCACTTGGCCTCTCTCACTCAGGTCTCCCCAGCTGCTGGCACCCGGGCACACAGGGCCTCTGGTTCTGGCCCAGCTGCAGACATGCCCCCCTACACAGGGGCACACCAGTTGAGGTGCCACTCACCCAGGAGAAGAACTAGAAATGGAGTTTAATGAGAAGACAGGACAGACTGTAGTGACAGAGCACTGGGCCAGTCCAGACAAATGTACTGATCAGCCACCTGCATAAATGAAACTAGACCCTTTTATTCCTTCATCCGTCCATTTTCCCAGGCTTTTTATTCCCGGATTCCTTTGATTCCTCCCTTTCTCACCTTTGTCTCCTCCCTTAGAAGTCCCATAACAGTCTGGTGCAATCCCCAAATGTACTTCATTTGCATGTCATCATGTGCCCATAGCCCTTCGGCAGTGATGCCCTGAGTTCAAAAGGTGATGAATTCCTCTGGATGAGTTTCCCACATAAGCCCTAGAGCTTAGGATTTCCTGGGACAGCCCTAGGAGGGGCTGGGCAAGCTGCTCCTTCCTGACACCTTAGTGTGGGCTCCTGACCAGCCTGTGGGCCACTGTGCTCTGGGCTTGTGGAGATGGCTGGTGTCTCTCCTTCCTCTGCTGGGCTGGGGTGTCACTTGGGCTCCCTCACCTGCCATTGCCTCCCCGTCCTCCTTCATGGGAGAGCAGCCAAGCTCCTTGATGGATAATCTAGCAGGTCCACTCTTCAACTCACTTTGGAAGCTGCTGTTCAGGTTCTCTCCTTCCTCTGAAAACAGGTGCCTCCAACTTTTCTTGATCACAGGTTTCTCTTCAGCCTTTTGTGAAACATGGAGCCTGGTGTCTGCGTCTGCAAGAGACCCAGGAGAATGGTATGGTTCACTAGAGAGCTTTACATGACCTGGCAGAGAGAAGTGATGAGTAGACAAGAGGGTTCTGTGTTGATGTGGCACAGCCTGGTTTTTGGTGGTGAGGGAGGACCACAGAAGTGGCTTTTGTGAGAAGCTGCTAGAAGCTTCCACCATGTCTGACAGAGCCAATCTCTGATGTCTCTGAAGATGGACATGCTGTATAATAACACTGAATATATAATAATATATATAATATTCTGAATATTATATATATAATAATATATATAATAATCTGAACTGCTGCTTGGGCCATAGAAACTCTGTAGTTTCTTATCAGGCCCTCTGGTATTTCTCAAGGTTGCTGAGACATAAGCTGTTCTAAAAATAAAAAAGAAAAGGCTGAAAAGCAAGAAAACAAGACCACAAGAGCCAAATAACAGAGGGCAGTTGAACACCTGGACTGTAACCAGTCCTGTGCCCTGAGGGGTGCATGCAGAGTGCGTGGACAGGATAGGGGTACCAATGAAAAATGCATGATTGCATGAACAGTAGTTAGAGAATGTATAAATAAGTGTATAAAGTAAACAATAAATGGCTTCTGCAAAATCTTATTGGTTTGTTGGTCAGAGGTCCTGAAGTCCTGCAGTGCTGCTGGCCCAATTGGAGGGGTTGGTAACTTCTCTCTGATGACATATTTAAGAAGAAAATCAAAACATCACATGTGCAGTTTTTTCCAGGAGTGGTGAGGTGCTGCCACTGTGGCCATCCTGGCAATGTGCTGCCATGGCTGCTGCCATCTCGGTGCAGCCCACAGCAAGCCTTGCCTGCCTGGCTGTCCCTGGCCAGCTGTGCTGCAGGCAGAAGGGCAGNATTAACTCTCAGTGCTGAGGGATCCCGTAGGAATCTTTGAATTGGGGGAACTTGTTGACAATGGTACCTGTGAGCAGCAGTTTTTCTTCTAGTCAGAGCAGAGGAGGAAGTGAGGACATGTAAGAGTAAACATCATGGTAGCACTAAGGTCAGTGGGAAATAAAGAGGGAGAGGAGGTGCTCCAAGTGTCAGAGCCGAAATTCCTCAGCAGGCTGTGGTGAGGATCATGGTGAAACAAACTGTCCCCCTGTGGCCCATGAGGTCCACAGGGGATGCAGAGATCCGCTCGCTGTCCATGGGGAAAGTGCTCATGCTGGAGCAGGTGGATGCCAAGGAAAACTGTGATCCAGTTGATGCCAAGGAAAGCTGTGATCCAGGGGGAGACCAAATGGAGAGAGAGGCTCTTGCTTCCTGACATAAAGAGAGAGAGAGAGCCCTTGCTGCCAAACTAGAGCAGCCTGTCCTTAGAGGACTGCACCCCATGGACGACTGACCCATGTCGTATCAGTTTTGGGAAGATTGCTCATGGGAGGGACTCATGTTGCAACAGTTTAGGCAGATTGCTTTTGAGATTGGAACCACGATGGAGAAGTTCACAGAGAACTGTCTGCTGTGGTAGGAACCCCATGGCATAGCTCCCTGAGTGAACAGAAAAAGATCTTAGGTGACGAACTGACCAAAACCCCCCAGTCCTGTTTCCCCGTGCTGTCAGGGAAAGAGGGAGGGGCTGGGGGGGAAAGATGTTTTAAAAGTTTATTTTGTTGTAGCAGCCCTCTCATTAGAGAGTAGAAATGAACCAAGACACAGACTTGTTTATCACATCATGAAAAGGGTCCTGGTTTATTCCTCTTCACAGTTCAGCCATCTGACTCCAACTATTTACTGACTGGCTACAGCAAGCTCCCGCTGTAGGTTTCCCTCCCAGCCTCTGACTGCAGGGCTTTACCTAGCTAGACTTTGACTGCAGATTCCAACAGGAGGCTCTAACTGCAGACCCAGACTGACCAGACAGCAGTAATTCATTCTCTCTCTCATTTTTCTCAGTCCTTCTGGATCATTCCTTCAGTATCTCATTCCTCAGGATCATTCCTCTTCCTCCTCTGACCAACAAACCCACCCTTTAATCACACTTATTTTTATTGGATATAGCTGTGACTTACCAGGGCTGAGGTCACCTGTAATCTCTTCTCCTACATATTTCACTTCTCATTATCCTCCTCTGACTCTGTTAATAATAAATTTACCTTATACTTTTTAACTTGAACCTGTTTTGCCCTGTTTTCTCCCAGTCCTTATCTCAACTCATGAGACCTTCATTATATTTTTTCCCTTGCCTCTGCCCAACTATAGCAGGAGAGGGTGAGAAAATGACTTTTGTGGGTGCCTGGCATTTGGCCAGTGTGAACAACAGTATCAACAACAGGTTCCCAGTTACAGCACAGGAGCACCAGAAGCTTGCAGGGAAAAGAGGGAACACATGGAAGGTCAGAGCAAAGTGTCCAGGGGAGGGGATTCCCAACTGTGACCGATTACTGGTTGTGTCTGTGGATGCCAGCAACCCTCCAAAGCACCTTTGAGTCTGCACCAGGAGGAGGAGGGCAGGGCCAGACCCTGGTGGGGAAATTTCTGTGTGAGGCTGGTCTTTACAGCACCCAAGCTCTGCAGGGCTCCCTGGCCTTGTCCAGAAGGAACATGTCATCTGCCCTCCTGGACATTTTCAGTGCCTCTTCCATGCCTTTGCAGGTAAGTAACTTTGACTAACTTTTCTGCTGCACCCTCCAGGGCAGAGGTGCAAAACATTAAGTGTTTTTTCCTGATCGTTGCCAGAGGGGCATATGGGGCACATGAGGTGTCATCTACCCAGTGTGACTGTCCCATGCAGCAGAGACATGGCAGGACAAACAGAGACCCCTAATGGAGAATGTCAGTAACCATTACAAGCCTTGGATGTTTGTGTTACCTCGTTTTGATAAGTCATGTGCTGATCTTCCAGTGTGTGCAGGCTCACAGAGGCTCTCTCACCTAGGTCTTGCTGTAAAAGCCTGTCTCCTTTGCAGGAGTTTTGGGTACACTGTGTCTTCTGCCTGGGGAAAAAACACACCATCAATTAGTCACAGGATGCTTAGTATACCCCTTGTCATCTAGAGAGAACTGTGGTATTTTAAAGATGCTGTTACTAGCTGGATGGTTTTCCAGAACAGATATATAAACATACCAAGAAGAAAGAGAAAGGCAAATTGTAAGGTGAACAAGAGCAAGGCACCTCCTTTGCAAGGAAAAGGAAATGATTCTTACCTGTTCCTTTTTCTGTTATTTAGTCTCATGACAGAATATATCAAGACTGGTTAAGAACAACACAGCTGTTAATATTGATGTGATGTTAATATTGATGTGATGATGACTGTACTCTTCTGAACATCTACAAAAAGAAACCAGTAAGCTCACACAGAGCATGAAGTGATGCCAATGTTTCTGCTGTCCTCTTTCAGGGGCTGGGACTGAAAGTGCAACCTTCAGCATTTTGTGCTCTTGAAGGAGAGAAAGGCACAGTGTAACAATATAACTCTGACAAAGGTGAAGCATTATTTTATGTTTTTAAATAAATACTGATGATGTCTCACATTTCCCTGGTGTCAGGGGTATCAAACCCCAGAAGTTTTACTCTTGATCTACTTGTTGTTCTCTTTCTGTTGAAAGAAACTTTATCACAAGTGTCCCATCTTTCCTACATAACCTCCTGCAAGATATTCTTATGAATATGTGAAATGTTTTTCCCCAGCATTTATCTGCCAGCAGCCTGCTCTGCTGGTATACCCCAGCTGTGTGTACTGCTGCTCTACATAAATCATTACATGGAAATGTAGACATACTGTGTAAATATGCACAAATGTACGTATTTATTCCATCTATATATGCACAAATCCACTACACACAGATACCACAGGGGGGAGTCTTTTGGAGGGTTTGTAATCCTGAAATCTTAATCTAGCATGAGATCTGATCTCACAGCAAGTTGTCTAGCAAGACCTACATAAGTACAACCTGCCCTTTCACAATTGCACATCCTTCCCTAAGTGCTCCCCACTACATGTTACACATCTCCATACAACTGCAGCCTACTTTCCCTTCCTTTTTCCAGGTGAAGTGCCTTCATTTTCCTTCCTTGTGGGTGGTGGAAGAGGCAGAACAAGGCATGGAGGTGGTTGGCAGAGACAGTTAAGTGCTTACCACTGTTACTGTTCCTTTGGTGATGTGGATGTGCTGTATTTGAGGTCTCTGTCATCCAGCTATGTGATCTTGGGAACACACTTTGCTGTTGCTGAGCAGAGTTCTCACTGCAGTGAGGAGATCCTCAGTGGGCAGGAGGGAATGGAATTGCACTGTGAGCTCAGAAATTGCTGGCAGCAAAAAGAGAAGGTGCTTTTTACATGTTGTGGTGAGTTTACAGTCAAAGCTAGGTGGCTTTCTCTCTCTGTACAAGGTTTTTATCCAAAAGCATCTGCTGGCTTACTTGCCTTCACTTCCCCTGAGGAAAGTGTTGCCTAGATAATAGAACAGATCTTAAAAAAAAAAGAGTGAATATAAAAGCAAATCTTTACTTGAAAGCTTTCAGGTATACAATATGGCAAAAACTACACATGGTACAGCAATTCTACAAGTTTTATATGGCAAATAGGTTAATATTCCTGTCATATATTGTCCAATTAAAAGGACAGTTGGTTAGGTAATAATTCCAGTATGACAATCTGGACACTATCCACCAGGGACATGCTGCTTCATGGAAAATCTCCATGTGCTGGATAGTGTAATGACATCTCCACCTCCTCAGCACATCAGACCCAGACTGCATTCCAGGAAGAGAGAAGGAGTTAGTGGAAAACTTATTTTGGATGTTGAGGCATATCTCTATGCTGAAGGAGCCATGATGGAACACATTGAAAATGCATTTGTAATAAGAGTCAGCCTCGAGTGTGAGATTTTGGAGGGTGACAGCTGAGGCCTTTGAGCCTCTAGTGAAAAGTACCTTCTTCTGAAATGACCCTGTCAGCCTCAGCCGAGAAGTTGTAATGGAAATTTGTCTCTCCCCCAAGCATGGCTATGATGATGGTATCAGATTGGATGGGTTCCTTTAAAGCTAGGAACAAAACAAATCCCCAAATTAGGGCAGGAGGAAAAGCAGTTGACTCAGGGAAGGCCATAGTGGCTTGCAACACCCAGTCACATTTTTCCCATCATTAGACACTGGAGTAAGGAATTCCACCACTGGGCCATGGGGCACACCAGGAGTCCTCAGACACCCTGTTGTCACAGGTGACCATCACATCATTATCCTCTGCTGTACAATTCCATGGAGAGGAGGAAGGCAGCATGGCAACAGAGGGAAGGAAGGCTCTTTAGCAAGCACAGCACCACCCAGCAAAAACAGCTCTCACTCCCGAGAGCTCCCCTGTGGAGCTGTGGGGAGGCAGAGCAGCCCACAGCCAGGAGGCTGCATGAAAGGCTGCAGAGGGATATGCCCTGCTCCAGCCCCTCCCCAGAGAAGTGTGCACCACCCAGACATGTACACTGGAAATGCAAACCTGCTCCATCCCCTGTGCTGAGGAGTTCAGCAACAGCAGCAAAGAAAGGGCATATGCAGGCAGAGCATACGGCTTGTGAGGACCCTGTGTTCCAAGCCTTACCCAGTTTGGCTGCTGCTGACCCAAGCCCAGCTTACAAGCCTTTCCACATGGTCCCTCAGGGGTTCTCAACTTCTCTCTCCTCATGGCTGGTCACATCCCTGTCTCCTCCATCCCAGACTTCTGCTTTGAGCAGGAGGATTGTCCCTACTGCAGGAAGGCAGAAGCATTTTGGGCTAGGAGCGAGTTTCCAGGCGCTGGCTGAGAGATACTCCAGAGCAAACTGTGACCTGGAGCAGAGAGAGTAACAACAACTCACTTATGTCCCCTTTGCCAGGGTCAGAATTGCCAACAAAATTCAAGTTCTTTAGTAGCAAACTCAGAAACCTCAACAAAAACAATCATCAGAGATTCTGGCAGAAGGATCTCAGGATGAGAAAAGGTAGGTGTGGACAAGACAGGATGCAGCGGATGCTGCTGAGCTCACACAAGGAACTTTCCTGGCCTTAGAGAGGCCAAGGAGGTGAATATTTCCAATGCACACGGGCAGCTGCGTGGGGGCTGCACGTCATTGCCCCAAGCAAACAGACAGTGTAGCTAACACTAAGCAACCAGCACAAATACCAACCACTGCAATGTGTATCTTGCACCCAAGATACAATAGACTTAGCAGAACAGATCTGCTCTTTTCCATCAATCCCCAGAGCCTGTTTGGAGACGGAAAAGCAGACCCAGGTGCAGGCATCAGTGAAAGGTTACATACATAAATAATTTTGTGGAGATACATCTTCAATTTCTTTCCTACACAAGAGGGGAGATTGGTGTAGTCTCTTAAATAACAACCAATTTTTCCCTTCTAGAATTTCTTCATTGTCCAGGCAACCAAATGGGCTCAGATATTTTGATTAACTTGTTTCCCACAGGCCTCTTCCCTAGCTTTTGCTTTTTCTTTTGTATAGTCCCTGAACTTTGCTCACCAAGAGATGCTAGCTGCTTTTCTCTTTTCAGTCATTTATCAAAGCTACTGGAGATGAAGTTGTTTGTTTAAACAGAACTGTCCCATGGGACTGTTTGTCCAAGACAGACTTCAATGCTTTTAAATTTTCAGATACAGCAGCATGTTTGAACTGTAAGTACTGTAAAGTGTCATTTTAATGACTTCATTTTTACTTTCTGAAGGGGAAAAAGAAGTTTCAAATTCTGCCTAATTGCCCTATGCTTAAATTGAAGAGAACTTTCTGGAAGCTTCTCTCTTCGGGCTTTAATTTTGCTATTTCTGCTGATGCCAAAGAGAAGAATTACTAATGAAGAAAAAGACAGTTCATCAGCAGCTTTATAGCACCCCTCTTTCTGGTGGTTCATGTTTGTTGCTCTCAGTTCTGCCATAGACCAAGGGGCATCCTGCTCCTGGTCACAGCCTGTAGATGAAGGGGTGAGGAGGAAATGAAATGCTGGCTCACTCCTGGCTGCAAGTCCAAACTCCAAGAGGAGCAGACATTCGACTAGAGAATGCCATGAGAGCAGATTATCACCAGAAAGGTTAATTCCCCTCATTTTCTGTGGGTAGCATGTGAACTTCAGCTAGGAAGTTATGGGAATTTTATCAGAAATCAGTTGAGGAACACAAAGTGATATCCAGTGACAGATCCCTCCCACAGCATCAGCTCTGTGCTGTGCTCAGACCTTTTCTTCCCTGGCTGCTTTACCCATTGTCAGCTTCATGTCATATGCTGGCAATCAAGGGATAAAAAGGAGCACAAACTGCTCCCATTCACTGCTAATTAACTCTGCAGACATCACAAACCAAGACATTTGCTCATAGTCTTAAATGGTTCTCTTTCCAAGAACTCCCTGAATTAGTTTTACTAAGTATCTCTGTGGCTTGGTTGTCTAACTGGCCAAAACCCTCAAATTAATTCGTTGCTGATGGCTGCAGAAGTGACAGGCAACAGAGAGGTATGTACAGATTGCAGATAACATTCATATTCCAAAGCTAATTTTGGGAGAAATTTTACTCCTGGAAGCAGCCAAGGCCTAAACTCACATTTTCTAACAAATTGCCAACTTGGGAGTTTTCCTGGAAATATTATTTGCCCATATGGCTCCACTTTGAGATCCTTCCCCTGCCTTTGGTCACTGTGTGTGCCCTTTTCCTCTTTTCTCTCCTTCCCTCCCTCCTTCCTAGCTCCCACTTAGCTCAGCCCTATGACAACCCTGGATGGAGAAGAACAAGAGGTGCCCAGCAGAAGAGAGGTGATCCAGGTAGGTGGACAGCATCTTCAAAGGTGTGGTAAGACAGAGCAGTATCAGGGAGACAAAACAACCTTGAAAGAACCAGGAGAGGCAAAATAGGTGGCTGAGTTGAGCAACAAGAATACAAACATGTTGTTTGAGGCAGAAATATAGCACTGTGGGATGGTTCAGCATCAGGTCTGGATCCCATGGACCAGAAAAAGAGCAATGAAAGAATAAATGTGCTAGGAGGATGAAGGAAGCAGTAGAGAATCGAGTAGGGGTTCCCCAAGCCTTCTTGTTCTGCTTTCAGGAAAAACATCTGTCTCACTATTGATGACTGATGCTGTTTCTAGGCAGTTTCTGACTTCAGTTTTTCCAAGCTTCCCAACCCACATCTGTCAGATCCACAGCAGGGTGATACAGAGTCACAAACTTGAGACTAGAGGAATTAAACCTGCACAATGACCACAAAATCCTTCTGCTGGGCCAGAGCTCACTGGAGAGCCGGGTACATCACATCCTTTTAGCTTGGGATGTCATTACCTTCGACCCAGGATGTGGGTCCTTTTTGTTTTGCATTCTAGTCAGAAGGTTTCCACCCCAGTGGAGCCTGCAGGGAGCTCAGAACTTTCTCTTAATGATGCAGAGAAGGTCTTGGTTTCCCTTTGAAACCTAAGCTAGACTCCAAGGAATGCCTTCCAATTGTCTTGAAGTGGTTGGAAATTGTTACAATACAGACTTTAAGAAAGAAATGTTAAAGTTACATACACAAATACTGAAGTATTGAGTAGAAAACTGACACCTTATTTCTGTTAATAATCCTAGAAAGCAGGCAGCCTATGATTAATACACTTAAAATGAAACCATTCTAAAGTAGGTATGCAAAGATTCTCAGAAAACTACACTAGGATATTTCCCCCTTTTCCCCTTTGCATATAGGTTCTGGTATTTAGAGAGAAACCTGCAGCAAACAATGATATTTCTTGTTACTCAGATGATGGGCAGCTAAAATCCACCACAATCTCACTTATAAAAATAGCTACATTCCTGTAAACAAGGAAGGCTCAAGGCAAACTGATTTATTTAAACTGAAATATAGGCCTGGGTGTTTATGATGACACCTGGGCTTTCTGTAATTTACCTAAAGGATAATATCAAATAAAATTGATTGAGTCTGATTGAAAAAAAAAAAAAAAGTTGTTTTTTTCTTTTTACTAAGAAGTGTAGAGTTTTTTTTCTGCAAGGTTTTCATTCCATCTTACTCTTTCATGCACAATTTCAAGTGCTCTTTTACTAGACAAAGCTGCCTTTTCCTTACGGTGATTAAGGACCACAGCTTCTGACATGTTAGGGAATTTAATACTCTGCATTGTGTAGGGGTCTTAGACTGAGGATTCTCTCAGACTTCCCAGAAATTCCAGGTAGCTTTTCTCAAAGTTGAGCAGACTACAATCCACAAAGAATTGGACAAGTATTCAGTGCTCCTTTCACAGCAGCTTTATAAGTTCAAAGATGAAAGCAGCAGAAATATGAGAAGGCCGTTTGTATAGCTTCCAAAAATGAGCAATTTCCAGTGTACTGAGAGTGAAAACAAAAGTACACTTTATTTGTATCTGCCTGGCTTGATAGTCTCATTTATGAAAGAGAAAAATGCAATCAATTGGAGCAATTCTCTTGTTTCTCTTGATTTACAGCGGCTCAGTGCCAAAAACTGAATGAAAAACAATGGGTTATATTTTCTTCCATGTCTGATTTTGTAAGAAAATTTACTGGTGTGGTATTTAAATGAATCACTCCTCCAAGGTGACACAACAGAAAATTGATAAATGATGCTTCCAAAGGTCTATCACCAAAACAAAGTTTCTTTTTGAATCATGATTTTTGAAGGGTTGGGATTTAGCTAAGGGGTAGAAACAATTTATAATGATCAAAATCTAAGTCTGATAAGTAAATTGTAAGTTAAGGATTATTAGATGCTTAAGCCAGAGCTAATTGTTATATTGTTTGCTATTATGAGCTTGTTCATAGAAAAAAGTGGAGTAAATGTTAGAACAACGTCCAGCACCTGGACTCTCTACCAATCAATCACCAAGCTGGGGGCCTTGGATCATGCTAGAGGGTCACAGAGACCTGATGAAGACCTTCCTGACTTCATCCTTTGAGGACCACTGACCCAATTTGAGACCACTGACCCAAATCAAGAGAAGAATTGCGCATGAGTGAAGGACTAATGGCCTCATTTTAATACTGAATGGAAATGGGAGGTGCTGGGGTTATGCATATGTATTGTATGTAAGATTCTGGGAGATAAATAGAGGGAAGAGAACCTTGTTTGAGGTGGTCACACCTTTTGGGGATGATCCCCATGCCACCCACCAGTGAATAAACATACTGCTTTCTAACTTTAATTAGTTAGAGGCTCTTTGTCTGTGGTCATATTGGTTTTTAATGATTCACTTTTCACTGTACAAATTTAGTCCTATGCCTCTACCAGCACTGGTTTCAGTAGAAGAATATTCTTTCTATTTCATCCAATGCCTGTAAAATATCTAAGACAATATTTCATCCAATGCCTGTAAAATATCTAAGACAAACATTTCAGCTACATTTCAAAGTCTTATCTTCAGCCAGAGCTGTTGGGGCCAATTTGCTTGTATCTTACTGCTCTCTTAGAACCAGGAACCCAGTATCTAGGCAGAGAAAAATACCATCACAATACAGCTCTGAAAAAGTCTGGCATGCCAAAACAGAAGCATGGACATTTTATGCAACCTGAAGAGCCTTCATTTTATTTATTTATATATCTATCTCAACTGTTTAAAAGCTCACTTCTTAGATGAGTTAAATCAAAGGATCCCAAAGCAGAGAGGTGAAGGCTGCGTTTGCGTTATAGAGAGACACATCATGCAGAACCAGTTTTATCTAAGTGAGAGGCAAGAAAGAAGGTGGCATTCTTACTTGCCCTTTTTCCATCAGTTAGGAGAAATTATACACCACTTGTCCCTAAGCTGGACAAAATGCAGCGACACAAAGTGACCAAAGGCAGAGCTGGCTGGGACTGAAAACTGCCCAGCCTCAAAACAAAATCTTCGGCTTTTTTTTTCCCTTTTGGTTTTGGTGGCAGTAATAGCTTAGCACATTCCTGCAGAATTTCGTTTGAGAATATGGTCTGCTTCCATTCACTTACAAAGTTAATCTGCTTTGTATCACTTGTATTGGAGCAGAAAAATAGAGCAGTCTATTTGACTTAAATATCCTACTAGTTTTGTTTCTATTTATCATTTCAAGCTCACCTCACCTCCTGTCTCCACCTACAGCCATGCAGGGTGACAGCAGACAAAAGGTGTTGGGGATCAAACTCACCTTTTATTAAAATCACACATTTATTAAAACAAATACTAGGTGTCTGTATAAACCCATTTGAAATATAACCTCCAAGGAATTCTTACAAATTGTTAACAGAAGTAACTGGACAGACATGCACAAACTAATCACAAAGAAATCTCATAACAGCAGTTAGGATGTTCATAATTCATAGTCAAAACTTCTGATTCCCTCAGTCATGCTTTTGTTTATTCCATCAAGGATGGTTTGTATCTATTCCATATTCTTTTTTCCCCCATAGCTGTCAGCCAGTTAATTATCCATAGTCTGTATTCTTGCCTTCATTGCATTGCTGCATGAAGCCAAACATCACAGCAGTAGCACTCAGCATTTTATGGCACTGCATCTTAGTAGATGGCTTTGCATAGCATGAAGTTAAGTATATGTATTGGTTTTAAGTGTTCTGTGACTGGATGTCATGTTCTCGTTGTGATATCATGAATAAAAAAATAAATCTTGTACAGAATATTACCTATAAGTCATTTCACCCCTCACCCAGCTGCTGGATCTATCATGCTCCTAAGCAGAAATCTCTAAAAGCTTAAAAAATTTCTGTATTCAGCTAAAAAGTAAAAGAAACTAAAACCCCACACATAAGCAGATACTTTCATAACTCCAAGCCCTGCTTTCCCACACTCCAGGTGACCAGCTTGTAGAAAACAATAATAGGTAATCGTTGCCATTTTTCTGGGTTTAATGGATTTCTCACTGGCATTGTGCTTTTTGTCTCTTCCCCCACAAAGTCCTTTTGTTTTTCCATGTCCAAACTCCCTGTTTCTTCAAGAGATTTTTTTTTTAATTAAAAAAACACAACAAACCAAACAACAAAAACAAGAAAACTTTAGTCTAAACACAAGCAGAAATCTCATGTTAAAACTCAAACAAACTGCTGTAAATTGCAAATGCAGACTCTGCAGAATGGCAAGGGCTGAGGCCATACAGCCTGCTCAAGAAGGGTGCCAGGGCTCTCCATCCCATTCCTGCCCTCCACATACCCAGGGAAAAACCTTCTTCTCCCCAGCCTCTTCCCTCATCAAGGAAGAAATGAAGCAGCAATGGTGTAAAAGTTTGGACAAACCATTACTTCCTCCTTTGACAGTTAGTGGGCTAGGAAAAAAAAACCAAACTATTTTAACAGCTGCAGCCAGTTCCCCTTTCCTCTCACTCACCAGCTGTGCTGTTTCTAGGGGTTAGGGAGGCCTACAAGAAGTATTTTATAGTGAGGACCTGGTTTACTCATTCTCAACTTGCTTACTTGCTTTCATTTTTGTTCACTTGGTTTTTTGACTAAAATTTAGTGGTTCATGTGGGATGCCTGCTTGAAATACATGGATGAGGAAAACCCAGATTTCATGCATTTGCTCCAGGAAGCCAAGAGAGGAAGCAGCCTGCACTGGTGGCTTCCCACATGACCAGCATGAGGCAGGTGGGCTCATTTCTCCTTCCCTATGTCTGCAAGACTTTATGAACATATGGTGGAATTCAGGCAATTACTGGAGATTACAGCTCAGATTTGAGCCACTGCTGAGAAGCCAGGCATTATCAGAATAAGAACACTCCTTGCCCTGCCCTGGTATGGAAATAAATAAAGCACCCACCTCCTGAGGCCTACCAACCTCCTGCTTCCCACTGCACCCACATGCCACTACACCAGGACACAAACAAAATGCACTGGACAACCTACAAATCCTGCACCTGCCCTTTTATTGCCCCGCTGTCTCCTGCAGGTGGGTGAGATGCCAGGAAACACAAGGCAGCTGTGACAGATCACAGACACTAAGAAGGAAGCTGTGGAAGCCCCTGAGAAACAGTGAAGAAGGAAACACTTATGCGCCTTTTACATTGCTTTCCAGGAGAAGTTGCTGGAAATTGGACTTTGCAGTTCCTCATGACTCCTGACTTGAAGCCCACTGCTCCTGGGTTATAAATTCGGGCTGGCTGCAGTCTTGGCCTGATCTCTTGTGCCCTTTAGGGAACAAGTTCAACACCTGAAGTTCAGAGTAGTGTGCTGGGCTGTTCCACATGTTTTCTGCAGCCCAGCTCCTGGTGGGGGGCTCCTTTGGTCCATCCACAACACTTTCCAAGTCAGCAACCTTACAAAATGCTGCCTTGTTTCAGACAATCCCCCATCCACTTTTGAATTTACAATGTTAAAATATCAAATAGTAATAAACAATGTTAAAACCCCCAAAAATACAAAGCATGATTTCCACTAAATGGATCCACACAGCCAGCCTGAGTTTCAAATAAATACTTTACATTTTTTCCTTACAAAACAGAATATTATAATGTAATAAATAAATATATATTATAAATTGTCCCTTTTTATATTTCTCTAGAAGAAAGTCACAGGAGGTTTCCTTGGAAGCTTGAGGTGCCATTTTAAGAGTTTCTCTCTTGCATGTGAAGGTTGGGCAGCTTCTCAGGTGTTCAGTGGTGCACCGAGGCTGGGGGACACCGCAGGAGCCCACCTGCTTGCAGCTGCATACTGCCTGCACTTCTTGGCCTTGGTGCAGGCAGGAAGCACCTGATGAAAGAGAGGTTGTTGTGTTTATTTCTTCAAAATACATGGATGTTTTTCATGTGAGGGTAAATTTGTATTGCCAAGTGAGTCTTTTCATCTCTCTGTGAGGGAAGACTAAAGTTTTCCCCTGGCAATCCCACCAGCAGTCTTCAGCTTGGACCTAGAGGTATAACACCCATGGAAGACACGTGTTGCATTTCCTCCACTGCTTCTTTTTCTCCAAAATTTTCACCAAAATCCAGGGTGCACATGCTGGGCATATACTACAAGGAGGATGAGGAGCCTTCACAAAACTGGACTGTGTTTTCCTGAAATGCTGCCATTTCACTCAGTTTACCCCCACCTCAAGCTTGTATCCTGCACCCCCTGCACTGGAATAGCCTCAATGGACAACCAGCAGTGCCTCAGCCTGTGCCCCAGCGTGGCACCCTGGGCTTCCTTCCCAGAGGCACAGTCTTCCTTGAAGACCACATTTTGTTTGAGACCCATCCTCAAAGCTGCTGCCTTTGTAAGCTGTGCTGAGGATGATTATTTTAGGATCTGCAGAAGACTGGTGCCGCTGCTGGCAAGGGTCTGGCCACTGCTTACACAACTATTTTGTGCATAAATATGGTAGTAGAACGATGCTTCCACCGCAGCATGCCTTGTCATTGGCACAGTGAATGTTTTCTAGCTGCCAGCACTCTTGGGCACTGTAGGCTGGCTGTGCAGAATCAGGTTTCCCCTTCCCAGCTGTCTGGCTGGGGGCTCATTGCTGTGTCCTTCTCCAGCCCAGGTTCAGCCTGGCTTGGGCAGTGTGCAGGCAGCCCTAGTGTGGCTGGGCAGAGCCAGGTCATGGTATTGAGCCCCAAGTCCTGTGGGCGTGAATTTTGCAGAACCCTGAGGAATGGCAGACCTACCCAGCATGGCCAGGTTGGGTTTCTCTCTGGGTCACGTAGGTGTCTGAGGCAGAGGTAGAGAAGGCAGGTGAGAAGGAGAAGAGAAGTCAGGGGCACCAGGACCCCCACTGCAATGGCTGGTGCCATGCTGCTCTCTGGACCTGTGGGGAAACAGCAGCTACTCAGTTTGTGCACAAAGTAAATAAACAACCCCAAATCCATTTCAGGCATCCCTTGGCCATTCCCTGGGGTGAAATGGGGTGGACAGGGGAGCTGGGAGCACATTCCAGCATGATGCACACAAGCAGCACTGCCAGCAGACCTGTGCATGGGGTCTGATGTTAAGGTCAGGCATGCAGAACCCAGCCCCTCTGAGCTACCCAACGCTGGCACCTCTTGATTTGTCACGTTATGTGATAGGAAACCCTGTCACAAACAGTCCTGCACAGAGACAGGGAGGCTGGGCCACATAATGGTGGGTAAGAGAACCCGAGGAGCAGTAAGAAATTAGTGCTACTGACCAGTGCATCTGGATGTCCCACAGCACCTCCTCCATCCCTCCCAAGCCCAGTCACAGCTGCCCTTCCCCACCTGCTCCCAACCCTCTGAGCAGTTTCTGATC